AAAAACCTTAAAAATCAAGGATTATTCATAAATATGGATTGTACCACAGCAAACAAAAATAATTATACGTCTGAACAATATAGGTCGCGTGGCAATGAAGCATTTAAAATTAAAAACTACGAAGAATCGCTAAAAATGTATACTTTAAGTATAATGACTGCGGAAACTGACTCTCTCAACTATGCTTTGTCTGTGGCAAATAGGTCTGCTGCTTTATATTATTTAGAAGAATATGAGCATAGCTTAAAAGATATTGATCAGGCATTTAAATCCAAACGGTATCCATTACAGAATGATTACAAGTTATTAGAAAGAAAAGGAAATTGTTACCGTCATATGAATCAAATGTCTCATGCTTTAGAACTGTATTCGGTACGTTACATTTTTATTTTTTATCATTATTTTTATAATTTAAATGATGCCTTTTTTTAACGCGTTAATAAAGCTGTTGCACTTGATTTTACTTCAACCTTAAACATCCGGATGTTTGTTGGTGTAGCTCCAAATCAAGTGCTTTCAGGAGACTTGTGGGGACATTTAAACTTTACCTAGTGTTCACCACGGCAGATAGGCTATTATTCAAAGCTACAGGCACTCATTTAGTCTCGAAAAATCTATTGATATATTTTTTGTTTAAAACCGTCCAGTCAGAGGTTAGTCTCCGGTATTTTAATAGGAGGGGGCCAATATAAATTGTATGATTTTAATTTTAATTATTAGCTAATGGYTGTAATTATAAATATGTGCCGATAAATCGATAATACACTAAAGCTTTAAATTCTGTTTTATCAGTTTGAATGCAAATAATGATTATAATATTTAATAGTTGGTAGTATTATTTTCATCAACTGAATTTTTTATTTATGTGATACTAGTATAGTTACATAAAAAAATTGTCGATAGAAAATTGAAAGGGGGAGGGGGTGAACAAACATTAATTTTAATAAAATATTAATATAACTTTTTAGCTTATCTATTTAAAAAAAAACGCGAATTAGTTATTAATTTTTACATCCTTGATAATTTTAATTTTAAACACTATAACACTCATATTTAATTAGAATTAGAATATGTATTTGTTTTTAGAATTGCTTATCACATTTAAATACTAATACACATTTGACATTTGCCACCAAAGAAAAAATCAAAACCAGAATATCAGAATTTGTGAAAAAATGTGAAGTAGTAGAAGAAAAGACAAAGGAAATTAATAATAAATATAAAAGTTTCACAAGACTTGAATTTGATAAAAAGTCTGGTTTATCAAATTTTATTGAAATAAAAAATTCAAAAGAAATGGGAAGAGGATTATTCGCATCAAAAAACATTAAGTCTGGTACGATTTATATTCTTTAGTTTTACTGATTTTTGATATAGCTAGCCGATAAAGGTACATGCCTGCTGCAACTCGACAGAAYTGCGAAATTGAGCAGATTTTATTACCATTTAAATATGTACATAATATTATTATGTTCAGCAAATTTAATTTTTATAAATTCGATTTCGTAATATTTGTTATTAAATACCACGCTGCTATACCGAAAAATATGTTTAAACAAAACATAGGTCGTAACTTTTAAGAATTTAGAATTGCAACCTGCAGGTTACTCGRAAAAGTGAATTATTATTCGAATGATTATTGATTAGTTGAATGTATAAATAAGTAATCTAAAAATATATATTAAATTTATACACTTCCCCGTATTATATTCCAACAATATACCCCAGATAACAATAATTAGTTAATAATGAATAAATATAGATCAATTAAGCGACATCAAACTGCATAATATTATGCTATCTCAGTCTTTCATCATTACATAATCTGTAAATATATACAATTAGCAATGAGTTATACACTTATAAGTTATAAMATGCACCTATAAATTCGTTTAAGGTGTATTTAATATTTATTGATAAATATAATATATGCCTACTATATATTATATAGTCAGCAGTGGTTGAATTGGAAAAATAAATAAAGGTGAACTTTTAACAATTAAGCAAATCAATTTAATAGTAACCCTATTCCTTGATTAATATAATAAAGGGGTATACGCTATAATTTGAAGAAAAAATGAAGAGTAGCTCAGTCCCCCCGCGTCCTCCCCCAATTCAACCACTAATATTATTAGTCAGAGTGGTTTTAGTTTACATTTTTACTTGGTTTGCTTGAAAATATAATACATTTTTATTTCTATTTTTGGCATACTTTATTTAGCCATTCAAATGCATAARAATTGTGACAAATTTACACGAATTCAATAAGTCAGTTATTTTCAGGTGAAATACTCATCATAGAAAAACCTTTTGCTGGTGTATTTAAAAATAATATGTGGATTTTCAACTGCAATTATTGTTTCAAACGATGTTTATCGGCCATCCCGTGTTCCAAATGTTCACAGGTAAATCGATTTTTAATACATWTTAAATTATACGCGTTWTTAATGCCTGCCAAAATAAAATGTTACTGGTAATATAGGTTGTCTATTGTGATGAGACGTGTCTACAAAAAGCCCACACCAGTTACCACGGTATAGAATGTTCATTAGTCTACCCTCTCAAAGCGGACCCAACTGTTGAACCCACCCACGATCTGGCTTTACGTTGTTTTGTTCAGCTGATTAATGTAATGGGCCTCGAACATTACTGCTCGTTGGTACAAAAGTATAATGAAACAAACTTTAGTTTTGACGAAAACAGCGATAATCATGATGATGTGGACAATACTTTTCACTCGATATATGCACTGGACGGAAACGAGACCAAAAGAACCGTATCCAATTTATTTTTCATGCATTGCACCGCGTCAATGATGGTGTCTCTGTTGTCGTTGAATGAATATTATGATATACCATCTAATTTGTTGGGCACTGTTGGTGTATCATTGGTTCATTTGCTGTGTGTAGCCAACTTGAACTCACACGCGTCTGTAGAGCATTCCAAGTACATAGGAAAGAACAGTAATAATGTCGTCTTGAACCGACCAGTGACTTATGATTCTGTCGCTCTTGTCCTATGCACTGCGTACAGTTTGATAAATCATTCGTGCGATCCAAATGTGATCGTTCAAACGTATAGTGGTGTAGAGGTGACTCGGGCAATACAGCCGATTTCTAAAGGATCTCAAGTAATTCGTAATAATGTTATGTTAAAATTGTAATAATTTATATTATAATATAATATTTTATTGTATTGTTTTAAAAAGATCATAATAATTTACCTGTTACGAAATAATATTATAGCTATTCACTGATTATGGCGTCAAATTTATGACACACGACAAAGAAGAACGCAGTAGACATTTATTT